ATCAGCATCTTGATATGCCACACCTGTGAGGTGGATGGATTGTCTCGGCAAAGGAGAAGTGCTCACTAACACAGATTTAGACAAATTTGTGAACAATATTTGAGAGAAATAGGCCTTTTGTGTACATAGAACAAGTCATAGATCTTTGAGTTCAGCTCATGAAAAATGGGGGAAAACAAAAGTGTTGCATTTATAATTTTGTTCAGTGTATGTACATTGAAATGATGAGTGAGCAAGAGGTAACAAAGGCTGTTAGAAGGTAGGAAAATATAAAGAGTTGAAATGGAAGGATTTTGAGAAACATTAAATTGCAGATATGGAATGAGTGAAGCCTCAGATGACAAAGCAAAACCACCAGGTTTTGAACTGTCTTGGAAAAGACAAAAAGGACCATTTTTGGGTTAATGCTTACAAAATGTATGCAAGATTCAGTCCACTCATTAATGACTATCAGCAGTCTTAAAACCCAGTTTGAGGGCGGCTGTGGCTTAGGCGGTAGAGCGGTTTGTTTCCTAATCGGGGGATTAACGGTTTGATTCCCAGCTTGTCCAGTCAACATGTCAAAGTGTCTTTGAGAAAGACACTGAATCCCCAGTTGCTGAGAGTTCGGTGTGAATGTGTAAGCATTTGTGAGTGTGAATGGCCAAGTAGTGTGAAAGTGCTTTGAGTGTGCTGTGAAGTGTAGAAAAGCACTATACAGGTATAAGACCATTTACCATCTTTTGTCTTAAGTTACACACAGTATTCACCATTTCCACTGGTACATTGCACCCCTCATTTCCATTTCCATTACATGTTTAGTGGTGTAGTCAACTGCAAAAGACCTGGATGGAACTGATCTTCCCTGAAATCCTTTTTTGGGTCAATAGAATAAAGAACATTTAGGAATCTAGCCACAGGGGTTGCAAGCCAGTGACTTCTGTGCCAGTCCCAAGCCCAGATAAATGGAGAGGGTTGCATCAGGAAGGGCATCCGGTGTAAAAACATGCCAAATTTAAACATGCGAATCATCAGTGCAAATTCCATACCGGATCGGTCGATGCCCGGGTTAACAACGACCGCCACCAGTGCTGTTGAGCTACAGGGTGCTGGCGGAAATTGGACTACTGTTGGCCAAAGAAGGAGAGGAGGTAGAAAGATTCATAGACAGAGAGAGAAGAGGAGAGGCAAGAGTATAGGTCTAAGAATAGGGACTCTTAACGTTGGCACAATGACAGGGAAAGGTAGAGAGCTGGCGGACATGATGGAGAGAAGGAAGGTAGATATACTGTGTGTGCAGGAGACCAGGTGGAAGGGTAGCAAAGCGTTTAGCATTGGAGGGGGATACAAACTGTTTTATTATGGTGTGGACAGGAAGAGAAATGGGGTAGGAGTGATCCTGAAGGAGGAGCT